TGGTCGCAGGCGCTGATACATATTACGCGATTATGGTCTCAATCTGCCACGAGTCTCCTTCGATGTCGTCTCACGTGCCGAATCACTATCTGGGCTATGGAACCCATTGTCTTGGGTGAATACGATGGCGAAGAGGGCCACCAATCTTCCTCCATCAGCAACATTTCAGTATGGCTTCATCACATTTAAGATGACAACCGCTCTCTATCGACTGACACTAGGCTTATTGTGTCTATGCCCTATGCTCTCTCTCCAATCCACCTCAATAGCGATTGCGCTGCCTGAATTTACCTCCACGAAGGCGCCGCTGAAAGGCCCGTCGAGTTCCGGGCAGGAGGGGCCAGACGAAACCGAAACGCGATTGATTTCAAAACCACGATGTATTTCTTAACATCTGCAACCGAATGCGTGGTAATTCTGCTCTGCAGCATCTGATAGATACGATTAGCGCCGTTCACCGGCTGCTGAACCCTTTGGCCTTTGTCCACTCTTTGCAGGCGGACTTGACTTCCATCTCGTTCGATGACCTTCTGCAGCGATCCATCAAGCTCAAAGATAATGATCCAAGAGCCTTCTGCAGCTATTCGGGAGACATGCAAGCTCTATTTCGTGTTCGGATCGACATTTCGGGCATCTGCAACTAGGCCGAGTAATCATGCGTAAGGAGCTTCAGCAAGGGCAGAAAGGTCTTGGTGTTCCCCGAGATGTACATAAGAGATCGGTCATCAGCTACTCCTGAAATGTCCCACTGGGAGTCTTGACCCCACAAGATGAGGGCGTCAGCCAGCCTTTGTGATTCCCCATCTGCTTTAGTCTGAAGTGTCCAGTATGGTATGACGTTTTCCATGTGGTTTTCTCTATGCTTCATTTCTTGAGAGTCTGATTGCATGTGCGTTACCGCCTGCAAACGTACAATGCTTCGCAATTGTAGGCTCGTAGGCTTCTCACCTACAGTCACAGGGTTCGTCAAGTCCAAGAAAGCTCCGCAGGAGCTGTTGTAAGACCTCATAAAGAAATTCCGAAAGGTGATGAACAGCTCAGTGGAGCTATCGTCTCCTAGCTGAAAGGTCGATGCACTTCCGTGGGAGTGCGGTGTCTGATCTGGGAAGCCAGGTACCTGAACGGGCTCTTGCTCGATGCCTTCTCCTATAGACACCGAATCATCAGTAGGCTCGTCGTTGTATAACTTGACCGCCGTTCGATAGGCAGTCCTCGAGCTCCCGTCTGCTGTTGCGAGAAGATTCCCTTCGACACTCCACAACCTCAAGAACTGGTGTCTGAGAGTCTTTCTCGAGACTGAGGGTGATCTATCTGTCATCCATCGTGCTGTCTCGGTGATCGCGACGAAACATGGATTTAGATATCAGCTGCTTATCATCGGGATTGCATATACCAAAGGACACTCTAGTAAATTCTATCAGCGCAGTCACTTGGCCTCTCCTGGAGAATAAGCAAGTGTCGTGGACACGCCTGGACAGCGAGTGGAATGAATGGGAACGGAGCGTTCAACCCACGCAGATGTCAATTGTTTCAGCCGCACATCGTTCGCACAAAACCATGCTTGTAGGCTCGCCGCTACTGAATTGATGTAGGCCAGCTGTAGCTCATAAACTATCCCCCTTTAGTAGTTGACTTCCTTCATGCGTGGCATCCAAGCTGGTTTGCCACATAGTCGACACTCGAGATCATTGCGTTCCTCAGTATAGGCCTGCGAAGACTCTGCACCATCTCTCAGTCACTACTACAGCGATCGGAGGACATTCCGCGTTCAAAAGGCCATGGCGCTCCTCCGGCGTGATTGATCCGCATTTGTAACGCCGGAACGTCTCTTTCAAGTGAATGTATGAGTTGTTTCAGATGGCCTAAACGCGCTTCATAATCATTGCAAGACTTCTCCGAGCCCATTTGCCGCTTTTCCAACACAACATTTCGCTGCTCTAAAACAACGCATTGGTGTTCTAACCCAATTAGCTGGTTATGTAAAAGTTCGAAGGGCCCTATCGGTCTGTCTTGTACGTGAGCCTTTCCCTGGGTTCCGTTAGTACTATCAACGGCGATTGAACCAGAGGTGATCGGTAGTGCTTCTGACTTCTCAGCTTCGTCGTAAACAATGCTCTCGAGACTGGGCAGCGGCGTTTTGTGTGGGATCAAACGGTCAACCGGCTTCATCGTTCCGTTCACGCCCAGGCTCCTTGTCTCGAGGCTTGGCCTCGGCATAGTTGACCATGA